GAGGGTACTCTCAAAGGGCGAAAAGATCAAGTAGACGAGACACATCTACCAAAGGGACAGAAAAGGTCACTTAAATGAGTATTATCGTTGGCGAGTTATTTTAGAAAAACCGAAAAAAGTCAGAAATTTTTGCAGATTTTTGACCACAATTTCTCCCGACGCCAGTCGCATTGGCAAACTTGGACGTTTCTCGCTCTATACCATTTAAACAAGTCGGAAAAGTAAAATCTTCTACCGGACCTTTTGTAACCATAAAGTGCAAATTGACTGAACTAGTAGCATTTTTAGATATATTTTTAAAAATCCGAAAATGCGTTCCGAAAAACGTAGGTAAGCCATCCTTCTTTCCATTATGGTTTAAAAAAAAATGAATGAAACTTTTTGATAGCCTCAAAACGGTCTATTTTGGTATCTCAATTCAGTTGGAAAAGATGTTTATTTTGGTCGCTTATACCAACAACTTTTTTCTTACTTTATTTCTACTTAGTTAGGTATATCATCACATTCTGTTTAACCGTATAATATTGAAAAAATTGTCAACTTTAGTTACGTGATTTATTTATTTACAATTAATTAACAATAACTTTAGTCTTGAAATGGATTAATTCATAAGCGTTTATCACTCACAATTTATAACTTAACACGAACGCAACCATGTTGCTTATGTAGCAAACAACAATCTTTCTAGAATGTTCTTCGAGAGCTCCCGAACGCTTCCGAATATTCTAAATTTTATATTCCTGGAAAGAATGCGCCTTAGTTTCTTATTGCCGATGACTAATCCTCATGGTGCCTCGATGTCTATCGGAATTTCTAGACTATCTACTACAATATTCACCACAGGATAATGAGCCACAATGACAATGTATAGGTACACCCACCCCTGTCATTTATATCCTTTGCTCCACCCACGCATGGTTAAACTGTTACACTTCCTAATTGTGTATTATTATTGCATACTCGTTTCACAATGCCCCCTTGTCCCCTGCTCTCAATCTCACTGGGAGGTGGGGAAGGAAGTAAGGCGCTAAGATTGTTGCGCTAGGTCAAGAGATTTATAAAGGAATTCTACGATGCAACCTAGCACAATTGGTGTTTTTCAGGAAATCTAAGTTAACAGAGTATAATAATATGTGGGTACATAACCGATTTCTTTGTATTGGTAATGACGAAAACATATCTACATACATATGAAGGACTCGTAAAACTCAGATTATGAAAGTGCGTTAGAAGTAACAATTACATTTTTAGATATGTGTAATTTGTCAAGGATTTGTAGTGAACTAATTAAACACAATAAGTGTATAAAAATGAAATTTAAACAGTGATTTACATAATCTAGTAGCAGGTATTATGAACGGTGTTAATGGAACGACGACGCGACGCTAAGGTGGTATAATCGGGAAGGCACGTCGCGTGCATTACATCCGATCTGCATTTCTGACATGAATTTTCCATAATCTTTCCATTCATGTATCTGTGTAAAAGAATACCAACCTTGAAAACGTATTTGAATGATAAAATGATGTTAGAAATGTTAAGGTAGTCGATTGTTCAACCCCCTGCGAAGTTGTAGGCGTATGGGGCAGGTACGTCGTCGTCGTTTGGTTTTCTAACGAGCGTTGCGTGTGGTAAACAATTTGTATGTGTTTATAACTGTAATCTCATAAACGCATGCACCAACAATTTACACATTGTCTTTTGGTGTTTCAGGGACGGCGGCGACGGTGTCGAGAGACGTGGAGCGCGGCGCGTGCCCAGTCTACGGTTAGCGAACGGGCGGGTGGCCGCGGCTCAGTCCGAAGAGGAAATCCGCTCGCCTCCACCGCGCCGTTTAGCCAAGGATGACTCTATCAAGATCAGCATCGAGAACACGAACACGTGCACCGATTCTTTGGTGACCGCACTCGATGACGAAACGTTGCTTATCGCGGATTACCTTTCCAACGACATGAATTATAAGGGTAGCGGCAAAGTCCATTTCGGTGTGGACGATGTCTCGTTGTACGGCACCCCAAAGGAAGAGCCCGGACCCACCCCCCTGGGCTCCGCGGAAGCCGGTAAACAAAGTTTCCTCAAGAACCAGCTACAAGCACTCTTTCAACCCACGGACAACAAATTGGCCATGAAACTTTTTGGATCGAAGAAGGCACTTATGAAAGAACGGATTCGACAGAAAGCTTCAGGTCATTGGGTTATACATCCTTGTTCTAGCTTTAGGTGAGTACCTTAATTATTTTTGCGTAAACACGGGCATGCGGTTTGTACCTCTAATAGACATTCGCGGGACAGAAGCTGTTAAGTTTCAATATTATGAAAATTATAGGTTTCCTTCCCAAAGAAACCATAAAATTACTTACTTTGCAAGTATTTACGCTTAGAATTCTATTAATCTAGATATAAATAGCATAATTTTTACATAACTTTAAGTACCTAATTCGATTTTGATAACTGGGCATAAAAAATACCCTATAAAACGTTACCTGTTGCCAGTAAATATGCGCTTAATTTGAGATCTTTCCGGTAATTGTTAATACATATTTAATCGTGTAGTAAAAGTTTATCGTATCACCTTGAACTCGCCATCCTTCATAAAGAAGAAGAAATTTTCAATTCAATAAGTTGACTTTGACAGTTGATAAATTAATTGGGAACGTGTCTTGGTTCGCAATTTCTTTTAGAACACTTTGCCTCAATTTCTTAATGAAGTAAATTTCGTGTGTCTTATTCGATATGCGCCCCTTCAGCTAACTGAAAATCGTAGTCCTGATTGATCAATTTAAATTAATACATCATAAATAAATTTATTAAGGTTATTAGTACACATTTCTCAATTCATAAACGCTACTAGTACGAGTTGCATGTCCGTTGTATTGTTATTTAGATTGAGATTGTTATATCGTGTACTTAACTCTCTTAGGAAATAGATAACCCGCAAAGTGTAAATCAATGACAACGTAACCTTGTCCTTTACAAGTTGAAATTTAACAATCCCGTTTCTAGATAAAGTTTAATCAAAGAATTAATTACGCAGGGCAAAGTGATTACGAACATTGGGTACCTACCGAATTTTTAGTGTACGTACGCTTCCAGTGTTGCATTAAGTAATTATTTGCAGCTAGTGGTGCATTTTTCTCTTATTTTGTGCAATTGCGCGTTGGCAATAAATTCGCCTGATTAAGTGGTTACAAAATAATTGCTCTATTTGTCTAATCGAAAAAAGAATGAGAAAAATTTTCGTAAACGAGGAATGCGCAAACTTTTTCCACGTGTTTGCGTTAAGTTATGCGAATACCATCTCTGTTCTAATGTTCCAACCTTGACCAAGAATTAGGTATACAAAAAATCAAAACCAATAGCCTGTACTTTTGGTGGTCTCAAACCGCGGAAGAGTAGTACTTCTTAGATTTGGTCTCATTATATGCTTAATCGTTCTTTAATGAAAAGTATTCGGAACTAATGAAATGGGTACGTTTATGCTTTCTACCTACAACAAATTATTAATAGCAACAATCCAATCAAGATAAATTTACTCAATTCCTTACGGTGCAGCGGCACGATAGGCTATTAAGTTCTTGCATAATCGCGTGTTGTTTAATTCGCTTTGTATTGTGTAAGTTCACAACTTCCGAAATCTACAAAAAAGACTAAAACTGATGCTAATCATAAATGTACCTAAGAAGGTATACTAAATTGCCAAACAGAACGAGCGTTTATTAATTGCCCGTTTCTAAAAAATGTATAGTATTCCTATAGAATATTTAAATTTACCAGGCTCTAAATTTATCCCTAGGTATAGAAAGATGGAATTATTAAAATCTTATCTGCAAAGGAGGTCCAAATTATGGTTTCTGCATATAATTGTTACCACTGACTATACATATAACGCTTGTAGTACAGCAACATTACTCCACTGTACTATAATTTGGTCAATTAAGGTCGGGTATGAGGTAAAAGTAATACATGAGGACTCATTGGAATCCAGTGACTACTATTTTTTTGCATAGAAATCAAATTACCGCATTTTTTGTCAACAATCATATGGAAAATGATACCTACTTTTTTCATCATTTTATTCCGTGGTAATTTCTTGATTCAAATACTCCTTTCATTTTCTTACGTTCTCTTACAGTTTCGAAAGAGAAGATCAAAGAACAGCACAATACAACCGATAAAACAGATTGTAAGGCATCAGAGATTACAGCAGTAAATCCGAGGGAATATCGGTTTCAGTTATTATACAAAAGGTCATCAATTTTATCTCAACTTATTCAATGAATTGCACAGAGTTGGTTAGTGAAATTTTGATACTATACGATAATTTAAAACTTTTTTAACTATAATTAAGACAACCTAAAATTAATCAATTGAATTCATTATGGATTTGTCCTCCATGATTATTTACTACAGCTTACTGTTTTCGGCGCCACCAAATTGATCGGTTACTAATTTCTTGGTAGGCATGGTGTCAAACAACAAAAACTATGCGATAATTTAATTAAGCGCTAGTGTTGAAAATAGTGTTTTTGTGAACTATGACCTATGAGTATATTTACTTACTCAAAGTGTTGTATTCAACGAGGTTACGATCGGGGCTATTTGGAGGCCACGCGATATAAAATTTAGAACTTATTATCGTACTTCTGGAAGTATGCAATGGTGCACCATCTTGTTGGAAGATAAAGTGCATGATGCATCAAATATCTGTTTGATCAATTTTAGCCTACAAAATAAATTTTTGTTTTTCCCAGAATTGTTACTCCTAGTGAAACCATCACTGGAGCCGGAAAATGACACTTTTCAACTGAAATAAATTCAATGTTATATCAGATTTCTTTCGAGCACATTAGTTCTGAAAATCATATTTTTTCAGTGTGTTGTAT